GTCCATTCGAAAATCTGGTGCAACACTGGTGGTCCATTCGAAAATCTGGTGCAACACCGGGTGGTCCATTCGAAAATCTGCTGCAACACCGGTGGTCCATTCGAAAATCTGGTGCAACACTGGGGGGTCCCGTCCGAAAAAATGGGTCAACATTTAAATACTCATTTGAGAGAAAGGGTTTAGGGTTTAGGGTTTAGGGTTTAGGGTTTAGGGTTTAGGGTTTAGGGGTTTAGGGTTTAGGGTTTAGGGTTTAGGGTTTAGGGTTTAGGGTTTATAGAAATTGTATAGGGTTCAGGTCCCGAGTTTTGACCGAGTTTTGACCGAGTTTTGACAAAGTTTTTACCGAGTTTTGAGCGGGTTTTTGTTTTTGCTTTGTCATTTTGACTTTGGGAAGTGGCTGGGCTGGGCTGGTCCGGCTAGGGCTTGGGCATTCGGCTGGCGAAGTGGCTGGGCTGGGCTGGACCAGCTAGGGCTTGGGCATTGTCGGCTGGCTAAGCCCCCGGCTTGAGCTGCGAAGGGGTTGATTGACCGGGCTGGTGGGCTGGGCCCTGGTGCGTAGGGGCTGAGGCGGGTGGGTCTAAAATCTGAAGGCAAGGAGGGTGGCGGGGGTTCAGGTCCCGAGTGGGCTTGGGCAGTATTGGCTGGCTGAGCCCTTGATTGACCGGGCTGGGACTGGGGAAGGGGGCTCTGGGCTGGGCTGGGTGCTGCTGTTGCGGGGTTGTGGGCTGCTGGGCTGCTGGGCTGGGCCCTGGTGCGTAGGGGCTGAGACGGTTGGGGCTAAAATCTGAAGGCAAAGAGGGTGGCGGGATTTGGTTCAGCTTGCCTGCGTCATGCGGCTCGCAGGTTACCATGGCGGTCTTGAGGATACGCACCTGGCACTCCACGCTAGTTGCGGTCTAAGTGAGCGGGTTTGGGAGGGGGTGGGAGGGGCAGAGCGAGGGGGAGGGAAGGGAGCGGGGGAGGGAAGGGGGGGGAGGGGGGGGACCCTCCGGAGGGGGCACCGGGTGGGGGGGGAGGGAGGGGGGGGAGGGTGGGGAGGGGTGCGGGGGAGCCCCACACCCCATTTTAGTTGAGGATTGTTTTTTGGTCACTACCCCCTGTGAGACTCGTGCCACCCTCCGGAGGAGGCACCGGGTGGGGAGGGGGAGGGAGGGGGGAGGGGGGGGGAGGGGGGCGGGGAGGGGCGGGAACCAACGCCCCATTTTAGTTGAGGATTGTGTTTTGGTGTCTGCCCACTACCCTCCCGGCCCAGGAGGGGGGGGGGGGGGGCGGGGGAGGGGGGGCGGGGGGGAGACCCCGCACCCCATTGATTTCTGCCACTACCTTCCCTCAGAATTCGTGCCACCTCTGGAAGGGAGGCCGTCAATAGGGCATGGGAGGGGGAGGGAGGGGGAGGGGGAAGGTCGGCTAGCTCCTGAACTGCATACCTTCAGGTTCCTGTTTTGTTTGAGGAAAAGCTGTCCGGATAAGCCCTCTCAGCCTTGTCGCTGAGACCACACACCTCGGCAACCCACATTGGTTGAGGCTCAAGCTTCCATACCCTGGATTGTCCTTGCCTCTGTCTTCTTCGGCTTGAGCTCCCACACCTCGGAACCCCATACCGGTTGAGGATAAGCCTTCCCGCCTTGTCCCTGCCTCTGTCTTCTTCGGCTGGAGCTTCCCCACCCCGGAAACCCACATCGGTTGAGGATAAGCTCTCCCGGCCTTGCCGTTGCCTCTGTCTTCTTCGACTTGTGAGCTTCCGCACCTCGGAAACCCACATCGGTTGAGGATAAGCTCTCCCGGCCCTGCCGTTGCCTCTGTCTTCTTCGACTTGTGAGCTTCCGCACCTCGGAAACCCATACTGGTTGAGTATAAACCCTCCCGGCCTTGTCCTTGCCTCTGTCTTCTTCGACTTGTGAGCTTCCACACCTCGGAAACCCATACTAGTTGAGGATAACCCCTCCCGGCCTTGTCATTGCGCTTCTGCAGCTTGAGACCCCACGTCTTGGAAACCCATATTGGTTGATGATAAACCCTCCCGGCCTTGTCCTTGCCCTTCTTCATCTTGAGCTTCCACGCCTCGGAAACTTATATTGGTTGAGGATAAGCCCTCCCGGCCTCGTTCTTACCTCTGTCTTCTTCAGCTTGAGCTTCCTGGGGCCACGCACTTCGAACCCCGGCCTTGTCCTTGCCTCCGTCGTCTTTTTGCTGGGGTCACGCACCTCGGACCTCATATTGGTTGAGGCCTCGTCCTTTCTCTTTTCTCCAAGATGAAACCATGCACCTGGGACCCTATCTTGGTTGAGGATAGGCACTCCGTCCTCTCCTCGCCTCCGTCCTGTTCGAGTTGAGACCACGCACCTCGGACCCGATATTGGTTGAGGAGAAGTGCTCCGGCCTGGTTCCCGCCTCCATCCTCTTCAAGTTGAGACCGCGCACCTGGGACCCCATATTGATTGAGGATAGGCACTCCGGCCTGGTCTCGGCTTCTGTTCTCTCCAGACCACGAACCTGGGAACCCATGACAGTTGAGGATAGGCGATCCGGCCTTGTCGCCGCCTCTGTCTTCTTCAGGTTGAGACCACGCGCCGAGGACGTGTTCTGAGAGTAAGTCCTTCGAGCTTGTTGTCGCCTCCTCTTGAAGCTCGCCTTCTTCTGGCTTCAAGCACCTGGCACTGATGCACGCTGCGGTAGGGCACGCACCTAGGACCCCATATCGGTTGAGGATAAGTGCTCCGCCCTCGTCCCCACCTTCACATTCTTCGGGCCGAGATCGCGTACCTGGGACTCCACGTTGGTCGAGGATAAGCGCTCCGGCCTCGTCCCCGCCTCCGCTTTCGCACCTGGGACCCCATATCGGTTGAGGATAAGCGCTCCGGCCTCGTCCCTGCCGAGCACGCACCTGGGACCCCAGCTCCGGCCTCGTCCCCGCCTCCGCCTTCTTCGGGCTGAGACCACGCGCCTGGAACCCCATATTGCGGCGGCCTGGTCCGCGAGAGCACGCACCTGGGACCCCATATTGGTTGAGGATAAGCGCTCCCGCCTCCGAGCACGCGCCTGGAACATATTGGTTGAGGAACAGCGCTCCGGCCTCGTCGCCTTCTTCGGGCTGAGACCACGCACCTGGGACCCCATATTGGGTGAGGATAAGTGCTCCGGCCTCGTCCCCGCCTCCGCCTTCTTCGACTGAGACCACGCACCTGGGACCCCACATTGGTTGAGGATAATCAGCGCTCACCTCCTCACTTCGGTCTTCTTGGGGTTGGGACCACGTACCTGGGACACCATGCAGGCGAGCCTGCACGGCTTCGTTCCCGCTCCCGGCCTTTTTCTTCTTGAGGATACGCACCTGGCACTCCACGCTAGTTGCGGTCTAAGTGAGCGGGTTTGGGATGGGAGGGGCAGAGCGAGGGGGAGGGAAGGGAGCGGGGGAGGGAAGGGGGGGAGGGAGGGGGGGGACCCTCCGGAGGGGGCACCGGGTGGGGGGGGAGGGAGGGGGGGGAGGGTGGGGAGGGGTGCGGGGAGCCCCACACCCCATTTTAGTTGAGGATTGTTTTTTGGTGTCTGCCCACTACCCCCTGTGAGACTCGTGCCACCCTCCGGAGGAGGCACCGGGTGGGGAGGGGGAGGGAGGGGGGGAGGGTGGGGAGGGGGGCGGGGAGGGGCGGGAACCAACGCCCCATTTCAGTTGAGGATTGTCTTTTGGTGTCTGCCCACTACCCTCCCGGCCCAGGAGGGGGGGGGGAGGGCAGGGGAGGGGGGGCGGGGGGGAGACCCCGCACCCCATTGATTTCTGCCACTACCTTCTTTCAGAATTCGTGCCACCCTGCCACCTCTGGAAGGGAGGCCGTCAATAGGGCATGGGAGGGGGAGGGAGGGGGAGGGGGAAGGTCGGCTAGCTCCTGAACTGCATACCTTCAGGTTCCTGTTTTGTTTGAGGAAAAGCTCTCCGGATAAGCCCTCTCCGCCTTGTCGCTGAGACCACACACCTCGGCAACCCACATTGGTTGAGGCTCAAGCTTCCATACCCTGGATTGTCCTTGCCTCTGTCTTCTTCGGCTTGAGCTCCCACACCTCGGAACCCCATACCGGTTGAGGATAAGCCTTCCCGCCTTGTCCCTGCCTCTGTCTTCTTCGGCTTGAGCTTCCACACCCCGGAAACCCACATCGGTTGAGGATAAGCTCTCCCGGCCTTGCCGTTGCCTCTGTCTTCTTCGACTTGTGAGCTTCCGCACCTCGGAAACCCACATCGGTTGAGGATAAGCTCTCCCGGCCTTGCCGTTGCCTCTGTCTTCTTCGACTTTTGAGCTTCCGCACCTCGGAAACCCATACTGGTTGAGTATAAACCCTCCCGGCCTTGTCCTTGCCTCTGTCTTCTTCGACTTGTGAGCTTCCACACCTCGGAAACCCATACTAGTTGAGGATAAACCCTCCCGGCCTTGTCATTGCGCTTCTGCAGCTTGAGACCCCACGTCTTGGAAACCCATATTGGTTGATGATAAACCCTCCCGGCCTTGTCCTTGCCCTTCTTCATCTTGAGCTTCCACGCCTCGGAAACTTATATTGGTTGAGGATAAGCCCTCCCGCCCTCGTTCTTGCCTCTGTCTTCTTCAGCTTGAGCTTCCTGGGGCCACGCACTTCGAACCCCGGCCTTGTCCTTGCCTCCGTCGTCTTTTTGCTGGGGTCACGCACCTCGGACCTCATATTGGTTGAGGCCTCGTCCTTTCTCTTTTCTCCAAGATGAAACCATGCACCTGGGACCCTATCTTGGTTGAGGATAGGCACTCCGGCCTCTCCTCGCCTCCGTCCTGTTCGAGTTGAGACCACGCACCTCAGACCCGGTTTTGGTTGAGGAGAAGTGCTCCGGCCTGGTTCCCGCCTCCATCCTCTTCAAGTTGAGACCGCGCACCTGGGACCCCATATTGATTGAGGATAGGCACTCCGGCCTGGTCTCGGCTTCTGTTCTCTCCAGACCACGAACCTGGGAACCCATGACAGTTGAGGATAGGCGATCCGGCCTTGTCGCCGCCTCTGTCTTCTTCAGGTTGAGACCACGCGCCGAGAACGTATTCTGAGAGTAAGTCCTTCGAGCTTGTTGTCGCCTCCTCTTGAAGCTCGCCTTCTTCTGGCTTCAAGCACCTGGCACTGATGCACGCTGCGGTAGGGCACGCACCTAGGAGCCCATATCGGTTGAGGATAAGTGCTCCGCCCTCGTCCCCACCTTCACCTTCTTCGGGCCGAGATCGCGTACCTGGGACTCCACGTTGGTCGAGGATAAGCGCTCCGGCCTCGTCCCCGCCTCCGCTTTCGCACCTGGGACCCCATATTGGTTGAGGATAAGCGCTCCGGCCTCGTCCCTGCCGAGCACGCACCTGGGACCCCAGCTCCGGCCTCGTCCCCGCCTCCGCCTTCTTCGGGCTGAGACCACGCGCCTGGAACCCCATATTGCGCCGGCCTGGTCCGCGAGAGCACGCACCTGGGACCCCATATTGGTTGAGGATAAGCGCTCCCGCCTCCGAGCACGCGCCTGGAACATATTGGTTGAGGATAAGCGCTCCGGCCTCGTCGCCTTCTTCGGGCTGAGACCACGCACCTGGGACCCCATATTGGGTGAGGATAAATGCTCCGGCCTCGTCCCTGCCTCCGCCTTCTTCGACTGAGACCACGCACCTGGGACCCCACATTGGTTGAGGGTAATCAGCGCTCACCTCCTCACTTCGGTCTTCTTGGGGTTGGGACCACGTACCTGGGACACCATGCAGGCGAGAGCGGATGGAGGGGGAGGGGGAGGGAAGGGGGGAGGGAGGGGGGGGACCCTTTGGAGGGGGCACCGGGTGGGGGGAGGGAGGGGGGGGAGGGTGGGGAGGGGTGCGGGGGAGCCCCACACCCCATTTTAGTTGAGGATTGTTTTTTGGTCACTACCCCCCGTGAGACTCGTGCCACCCTCCGGAGGAGGCACCGGGTGGGGAGGGGGAGGGAGGGGGGGAGGGTGGGGGAGGGGGGCGGGGAGGGGCGGGAACCAACGCCCCATTTTAGTTGAGGATTGTCTTTTGGTGTCTGCCACTACCCTCCCGGCCCAGGAGGGGGGGGGGGAGGGCGGGGGAGGGGGGGCGGGGGGGAGACCCCGCACCCCATTGATTTCTGCCACTACCTTCCCTGAGAATTCGTGCCACCCTGCCACCTCCTGCCCTGCCCCGCCCCTCCCCGCCCTGCCCTGCCCTGCCCTGCCCTGCCCTGCCCTGCCCTGCCCTGCCCTGCCCTGCCCTGCCCTGCCCTGCCCTGCCCTGCCCTGCCCTCCTGCCCTGCCCTGCCCTGCCCTGCCCTCCTGCCCTGCCCTGCCCTGCCCTGCCCTGCCCTGCCCTGCCCTGCCCTGCCCTGCCCTGCCCTGCCCTGCCTGCCCTGCCTTGCCGTGCCGTGCGCTGCGCTGCCCTGCTGCCCCGCCCCGCCCTGCCCTGCCTGCTCTCCTCTGCCTGTCCCACCCTGCCCTGCTCTGCCCTTCCCTTCTTCGTACAATGTTTATTGCTGCTATTGTTGATTTGACGAAGCTGCAAAGGCTCGCGTTCTAACGGAGCTGCACATACATGCCAAAGCTCGCTTTCTAACGGAGCTGCGCATACAATTTCTATTTACCCTGCTCTTTAGGGTTTAGGGTTTAGGGTTTAGGGTTTAGGGTTTAGGGTTTAGGGTTTAGGGTTTAGGGTTTATAGAAATTGTATAGGGTTCAGGTCCCGAGTTTTGACCGAGTTTTGACAAAGTTTTTACCGAGTTTTGAGCGGGTTTTTGTTTTTGCTTTGTCATTTTGACTTTGGGAAGTGGCTGGGCTGGGCTGGGCTGGACCCGCTAGGGCTTGGGCATTCGGCTGGCGAAGTGGCTGGGCTGGGCTGGACCAGCTAGGGCTTGGGCATTGTCGGCTGGCTAAGCCCCCGGCTTGAGCTGCGAAGGGGTTGATTGACCGGGCTGGTGGGCTGGGCCCTGGTGCGTAGGGGCTGAGGCGGGTGGGTCTAAAATCTGAAGGCAAGGAGGGTGGCGGGGGTTCAGGTCCCGAGTGGGCTTAGGCATTATTGGCTGGCTGAGCCCTTGATTGACCGGGCTGGGACTGGGGAAGGCGGCTCTGGGCTGGGCTGGGTGCTGCTGTTGCGGGGTTGTGGGCTGCTGGGCTGCTGGGCTGGGCCCTGGTGCGTAGGGGCTGAGACGGTTGGGTCTAAAATCTGAAGGCAAAGAGGGTGGCGGGATTTGGTTCAGCTTGCCTGCGTCATGCGGCTCGCAGGTTACCATGGCGGTCTTGAGGATACGCACCTGGCACTCCACGCTAGTTGCGGTCTAAGTGAGCGGGTTTGGGAGGGGGTGGGAGGGGCAGAGCGAGGGGGAGGGAAGGGAGCGGGGGAGGGAAGGGGGGGAGGGAGGGGGGGGACCCTCCGGAGGGGGCACCGGGTGGGGGGGTCGGTACCTGGGACACCATGCAGGCGAGAGCGGATGGAGGGGGAGGGGGAGGGAAGGGGGGAGGGAGGGGGGGGACCCTTTGGAGGGGGCACCGGGTGGGGGGAGGGAGGGGGGGGAGGGTGGGGAGGGGTGCGGGGGAGCCCCACACCCCATTTTAGTTGAGGATTGTTTTTTGGTCACTACCCCCCGTGAGACTCGTGCCACCCTCCGGAGGAGGCACCGGGTGGGGAGGGGGAGGGAGGGGGGGAGGGTGGGGGAGGGGGGCGGGGAGGGGCGGGAACCAACGCCCCATTTTAGTTGAGGATTGTCTTTTGGTGTCTGCCACTACCCTCCCGGCCCACTGCCCTGCCCTGCCCTGCCCTGCCCTGCCCTGCCCTGCCCTGCCCTGCCCTGCCCTGCCCTGCCCTGCCCTGCCCTGCCCTGCCCTGCCCTCCTGCCCTGCCCTGCCCTGCCCTGCCCCTGCCCTGCCTGCCCTGCCTTGCCGTGCCGTGCGCTGCGCTGCCCTGTGCCGCCCTGCCCTGCTGCCCCGCCCCGCCCTGCCCTGCCTGCTCTCCTCTGCCTGTCCCACCCTGCCCTGCTCTGCCCTTCCCTTCTTCGTACAATGTTTATTGCTGCTATTGTTGATTTGACGAAGCTGCAAAGGCTCGCGTTCTAACGGAGCTGCACATACATGCCAAAGCTCGCTTTCTAACGGAGCTGCGCATACAATTTCTATTTATCCGTTGCGTACTGCCGTTCTCTATTCTTGAGGGTTAGGTTTAAGGGCGTAGGGTGTGGGTTTAGGGTTAGGTTTAGGTTTAGGGTTTGGGTTTTTAGGGTTTAGGGTTGAGGGTTGTTTGGGTTGGGTTAGGGTTTAGGGGTTTAGGGTTTAGGGTGTGTCGATGCTCCGCGCACACCACCACGCGAGACGTGTGTTGTGGTGTGCGCCTAGGTTCAACGCTCTCGCCCTACCCGCCCACCCAGTCTATGACCTTTGTCGGGTTTAGGGTTTTTTTCAAGGTTTGGTCTGGCGGTGGCCCAAAATCAGGGCAAGCAGGGCAGAGGCAGGGCGGGGCAGGGCAGGGCAGGGCAGGGCAGTGCAGGGCAGGGCAGGGGCAGGGCAGGGCAGAGCAGGCAGCTCAGGGCAGAGCACAGGCAGGGCCAGGGCAGGCAGGCCAGGCAGGGCAGGCAGGGCAGGCCTAGGCCAGGCAGGCGCTGGGCCAGGGGCAAGACCAGCCCAGGACCAGGACTAGGCGGGCCAGGCCCAGGGCCAGGGCCAGGGCAGGGAGAGGGACACCAACCTCCGAGGTTGGAGGTTTAGGGTCATATTGTTCTGATTGGCTAGCATGCCTGTCGCATGCGCCAGCACCTGAGCCGTGCTGGGGCTCCTTCGCTGCGCCTGTCGCGCCAGCTCCGGAGCCAGCCTCACTGACGCTTCGGCACGCTCGCTGCTGCTATTCGCAGCGCCCGCAGCTCGCTTCAGTTTAGGGTTTAGGGTTTAGGGTTTAGGGTTTAGGGTTTAGGGTTTAGGGTTTAGGGTTTAGGGTTTACGATTAGCTGGGCTAAGAAATCACTAGGCCAGCAGTGTAGAAGTAAAAAACCCACCCGCCCAAAGAATCCCAAAACATTAAGACAATATACACTTTCTCCCTAACCCCTGAAGGCCAACCAAACATGCCCTAAACCCTAGAAGCCACTACTATACTCCAAAACTCGTTGCGCAAGCCACATCCCAACAAAAGTCGTTAATTTTGCAGACCTTAAGCCGGAAAGGACTGCAAAATTAGCGATTTTTGTTGTGCAGAGTGGTCCTCGCAACAAAAATCGCTAATTTTGCAGACCTCAGGCCGGGAAGGTCTGCAAAATTAGCGATTTTTGTTGTGCAGAGTGGTCCTCGGAACAAAAATCGTTAATTTTGCAGACCTCAGGCCGGGAAGGTCTGCAAAATTAGCGATTTTTGTTGTGCAAAGTGGTCCTCGCAACAAAAATCGTTAATTTTGCAGACCTCAGGCCGGGAAGGTCTGCAAAATTAGTGATTTTTGTTGTGCAGGGTGGTCCTCGCAACAAAAATCGTTAATTTTGCAGACCTCAGGCCGGGAAGGTCTGCAAAATTAGCGATTTTTGTTGCGCAGGGCGGTCCTCGCAACAAAAATCGTTAATTTTGCAGACCTCAGGCCGGCAAGGTCTGCAAAATTAATGATTTTTGTTGCGCAGGGCGGTCCTCGCAACAAAAATCGCTAATTTTGCAGACCTCAGGCCGGGAAGGTCTGCAAAATTAGCGATTTTTGTTGCGAAATTGTTTGCCCAGGGCCCTTCTCGCAACAAAAATCGCTAAGGCCATTAACATTTAAATATACATTTGAAAGAGAGGTCTGCAAAATTAGCGATTTTTGTTGCGCAGGGCGGTCCTCGCAACAAAAATCGTTAATTTTGCAGACCTCAGGCCGGCAAGGTCTGCAAAATTAGTGATTTTTGTTGCGCAGGGCGGTCCTCGCAACAAAAATCGCTAATTTTGCAGACCTCAGGCCGGGAAGGTCTGCAAAATTAGCGATTTTTGTTGCGAAATTGTTTGCCCAGGGCCCTTCTCGCAACAAAAATCGCTAAGGCCATTAACATTTAAATATACATTTGAAAGAGAGGTTTAGGGTTTAGGGGTTTAGGGTTTATAGAAATTGTTAAGGGTTTGGGTCCCAAAAACTTTTTGACCGAAAGTTTTGAACGAAACGTTTTGAACGAAACGTTTTGACCGAAAGTTTTTTTTTGCGAACCATGTTTTCAAATTTGCTGGGGGGCTGGGGCTCTTGGGTGCCAAAAACGTTTTGAGCGAAACGTTTTGAGCGAAACGTTTTGGGCGAAACGTTTTGAACGAAACGTTGTGACCGAAAGTTCTTGCCTGGGCTGGGCTGTGGCTGGGCTGGGCTGGCCTAGGCTGGGTCGGGCTGCTTGGACTGGCTGGTGGGCTGGGTTGCCTGGGCTGAAGGTTGTAGAGAAATTGGTTTATCAAGAAGCTTGC